AATGTTCACACATTTATATTGATATTATATGATAAAATATATTATATCCAGTCTCTCTCTCTCTCTCTCTTATTCTTACTTGTACAAACTAATACAAAACGTGTGATTTCTGTGATCCGTAGATCTAGCGTTCCTTGGAAAAACGCACTTGAAATCTGAACGTAGTTGCAACTTGCAAGTAGATGTCGTTTTGACGCTTCGGTATCGCAACGAATGCTTCGAGAGTGGTGAATTCTGTTTCCCAAAAGTCCAATCTATGTCCGAGCGGTATGCGAAATTTTACGTTATTTCAAAATAACTCTCTCCAGAATAACCTCAACGTGGGCTGTTGAGTTTTTTAGTACCCTAATTTAGCTGTAGAGTGCGACACTAGGACGCCATGACAAGATGGCGGGTACTCTCGGTTCCCTTTGAGCCTCAAGTGTCAGTAAGCATCGTCTTTATGATGCGTGGAATATTATGGTTCGTGATTCTGTTTTCGAAATTTACTGTGAAGGGATAGTCTATCGCTGAAAACGCTGTCAGCTTGCATCCTGATCATACTTGGTGGGCACAATTATTTTATAATACAAACTAGCTTCTAATCCTCGTATAGGTTAGGTCTGAGTTAAGACCGGGTTAGGGCTGGATTAAATCTACAACTTCAAAGTGATTTAGTGGATCGGGTCTGCGTTAGTTCTGGCGTTAGGTCTACGTTAGGTCTGCGTTAGTTCCACGTTGAGTCTGTGTTAATTCCGGGTGGGGCCTAGATTCTATCCCCAACTCGACGTCGATTTATTCAGTGAAACCGCCACCAGAGAATTACTGAAAATTCAGCATGCTCCTTAGCACGCTCCTCAGCAGGAATTCGTGTCCAATCCGGGCCAAGTGACAATCTAACCCGTACAGGACAAACACGGCAGCCCGGCCATTAAGCAACCACGCTTTGCGTACTTCGGCAGATTTTTTGATCCAGAAGAACCAGCTGCGCCGGCCGCTGGCATACCAGGGGCACGAGAATGGTCGCGGATGAAGACATACCGTGAAAGCGACGTTCGATCTGGGACGGGGTAACACAACAAATCGGCTGCCGTTGATGCCGGCCGAGTCCGGCGCAGGAGTTACGGCGCGAAAAAAAGAAATGAGACCCGTTTCCCCGAATGGAAACGGATTTGTTGAATAAAGATCGCTTCTTTCGCCAGGCTGCCGCGGGGCGTGGCCTACACTTATCGGTAACCGGTAATTGGAAAGTCACGATCCGGGATCGGAATCAGGACCGAGACATGCGGGCACCTTCGCGCACGTGTGCGCATGTGCCCGCGCGCGCGCGTGTTCATGCGGGGATCCAACCGAGAGGCTCCGCGACGAAATTGCGGGGGACGTCGCGGGGCGCCTCGTAAAGAAGCCAGACGATGAAAAAGGGAGGGGGGAATCGGGCTGGGCGACGCGGACCGGGCAATCTGATCGACTCGAACATTTGTATGGAATGTCGAGCAAGTGAGCCTCGCGCACCACGCGATCCACGACTCGGACCCGGCGGTTAGGTGCACGCCGATCCGCTTCATTAACGCTGGCGACGATCCCGAGATAAGGTTAGGTACACGCCGGGGCGGAGTCCCCCGGACATCCGCCAGCGGACCGTGGGTCACGTGGCCGTCTTCGGACTGGGCGACTGTTCTCGGTGGCGCTAACAATGGGATTTATATATAAATAAATATAAATATTGTATTATATATATTATGTATAAATAAATATATGTAAATAAATATTATATTATATATTATATATAAATAATTATAAAATATATATTTATTTATATATAATATATTCATTATTCATTATGCGTTCCATATATCCATACATGTAATATATATTATAAATAAAAGTAATCGCTCAACTGAGAACTTTGGGTGCCCAGAAAAAGAATGAAAATGACTGAAAGAGGACATTGGAAGAGTTTAAGGATAACTATAGTGAGCAATAGCTTTTCAAAATTGGACTAAACGACTGAATCTTTTTTTATGATGTTGGCTACTTCACTAGACACCGAATAACAAATTTTTATTGAAAATTAGAATCGTTTCTAAAGGAAAAAGGAAATTGCAAGATGACGCTTGCTCCAAACTTTTATCCGAGCTCTTTAAGAAAATTCAAACGGCCTTTCGCGCCGTTCTTCGTAATTCTAATTGTTAATTAACTGTTAATTACGCAGATCTGTTTGCGAAAAAAATGATTGCAAAAAGTTTCAGCATAAAATTTGTGTATAAATCGTGCACGAACGTTTCTTGGAACAATACTTGGAAAAAAGTCACGGCTGCACAACAATGCCTCTAATTACTCGGAACGATAAATTACCGCTGGGGCTGGCACGGTTCCGCGGTGTTCACGGGCGCGCGCGCAAAAAAACTGGTCGGCGCAACAATGTGTCTAAAACAGGCCACCGCCACCAGAAAATCTCTTCCGGCGAGCACTGCGGCCGCACGACACCCCTAATTTACAGTTTACTCCGCCTCGGTTACGTGCCAGCCGGTATTTATGTGCACGATTACACAATTAGAAAATAAAGACTGCGCGCGTTAATAACGAGCCGGAATCGCGTGCACGGAAGGTCCCGAGCGGAGTCACAGTTTACCGTGGCGCGTCGCTCGAGATCATCCTCGTGATTTACGGTGGGAAGAGAGCAGGACGGTGTGACGTGGCGAGAGGAAGGGGGCGGTGTGAGAGACGTAGGGAGACTTAGAGAGACGTAGCGAGGCTTAGAGAGACGTAGCGAGAGAGGAAGAGTGAGGGCGAGAGGAAGAGAGGGACATAGGAGGGTATAAAGAGACATGGAGATAAAGACTCACACATAGAGACATAATGGGGCATAGAGAGACGTCTTATGAGATAGGTCTTTTTGCTTTATCCGGATGTCTCATAAGAGGGCTGGGTATTTTTTCTTCACTCGGCTGTGTCTCATGGGCACTTTGATATTTTTGCTTAATCCGGATGTTTCATGAGACAGCAGGATATTTTTGCTTTATCCGGATGTCTCATAATATGGCCGGATATATTTTCTTCACACGGCTGTGTCTCATGGGCACTCTGATATTTTTGCTTAATCCGGATGTCTCATGAGACAGCAGAATATTTTTTTTCATCCGGACGTCTCATAAGATAGCAGAGTAATTTGCTTCATCTGGATGTCTCATGAGGTAGCCAAATATTTTTTCTTCATCCAACTGTACCTCATGGGTACTCTGGTACTTTTGCTTGACCCGGACGTCCCACGACGTGGCCGAATATTTTTGCTTCATGTGGATGTCTCATGAGATGGCTGGATATTTTTGCTTTATCCGGATGTTTCACGATGTAGTCCAGGTATTATTGCTTCAA